TACATAGATGTGAATAGAATAGAATAGAAGAATATGGTTGTAGAACTTTTAACAGATGTCTCATTTTTAGCTGGTTTTATACCTCAATAATTTATGAAGTTAGTGGAATGTAACTTGTATTAAATAACAGTTTGAATAATATTAAACTCCAGGTCTAATAAATTAAATTGCATGCTCTCTGAAACATTTCCCTATGGTAAATAGAACCAGCTGCAAGCAATGTAGGAACAGAAGATGTGTATTTTTATAAAAGAGGAAAAGATAAGCTTCCAATTTTCTTGTCATTGTAATAGCTTTGTATTTATGGTTTACATATACATAACATAAACTTTACTGAAAATAGGAGGTATAGGAAATAAAACTCAGCATTAACCAAATTACATTTGGTAGAACGACTAGTTTGCAATATACAGTCCTAGTCAGACTTTAAAATAGCAATCCCAACTGCAATTAGAAGTGCATCCTCCTCCTTAGCAATGCCAACTGTTCTTTGACCCATGTCTCAAAAGTGTACCTCTTATTTTAAATGTTGTTTCCTACAGAAATCTCTTGTCGAGGGGAACGAATCAGAGATTACTACCAAAAGCAGCAAGGGTATGCTGCGTGCCAGACGACCAAGAAGGTATCGAGACTAGAGTGTAAAGGAGGATGTTCCACCGGGCAGTGCTGTGGACCACTAAGGAGCAAGAGACGGAAATACTCTTTTGAATGCACTGATGGGTCATCATTTGTGGACGAGGTTGAAAAAGTGGTGAAGTGTGGCTGTACAAATTGTCCCTCCTAAGTGTCCCTGTCACACTTGTCTTTTGAAAATGTTGTATACTTATTGACCGTGTCGGACTAATTAATGCTTCATAGTGGAAATATTTGAATTATATTGTAAAATACAGAACAGACTTATTTTTATTATGAGAATAAAGACTTTTTCTTCATTTGAAAAAAGATTCAAGTGCTTGAACTGAGACTTTTCATAACCAAGAGGAGCTTTGAAGAAAAAAAAAAAAAAAGACCTGGTAACATTTCAACAGAGATGGGAAACTTTAACTGCTTTTAACATGGATTCTTCTTTATAACATGCTGAAGATACACTGACACTATACACATGTGACTTTCAACTTAGCAGCTCAGAGATGAAATATTGACCAGAACATGAGGCTTGTTTTTTTCACTTTCGTATCAGTATATTTTATTGTCTTTACAGACCATAGCCATCACTTACCTATGGATGAGAAAGCGTTATGAGTGAAAAGAATCAGATTATACAGAAATAACAATTGTATTAAATACATTTTATCTTTTGGAATTATTAAACATCTTGAGAAGATGGTGTCCCATTTAATGGATGGGAAATGGGAGATATGAGAATATACTATAATCCTGAAATCTCCTGATGATGTATACTTTTATGTCAGCATGTTAGCAAAAGAAGCATAAAAAAGTGTTTATCTGCCCTTTTCCAGTATTAATTTTTTGTAATATAAATGTTCTGGGGATGATAAAAATAGATTATTGATGGATAAATTAGTAATAATATGGATTTCTGTTTCTATGAGTTCTAAACAACTCTATACAGTATTTGGTTTCATTGAGAAATATTTATTGTATCGAAGTACATTGTACTTAACCCTTTTAGGCCATCCCTTTTACTGTTTTTCAATGCTTTAATATATATTAATTTATATTTGTCCCAGTATTTTTGTAATTTTTTTTTAAAGGATTTAAAAATCAGGATTTTTTGCAATAGAACTAACGTAGCATGTCGTCTTGGGGTAAATGTTTTCGGTCTGTTTCTTCCTCCCTTTCCCCTTCCTTTTTCTTTTCCGTAGAATCTGACCACTTGGTGTCACTGAATCTGAAAGTGATGACAATCTGCAGTTTTCACATACAGCAGATATTCAGGACACCTTCCAAGAACCTGTAATGTATGACAGAAAATGTCTTTACACTAGGTGGCAATTGTAGAGAAGTTAATTTTCCTTATATACAGTACTTACAGAAAATAAGATGGCGTGTAGAAAATTACATTAGATGGTAGATCTTTATAAATTAATATTCCCATGGAGCTCTTTACCTTTTTTATAAAAAAGAAAAAAAAGGGTGTGCTATGAAGAACTGTGACTTTCCCCAAATAATAAAACTACTTTATTGCCCTAATGTTCCCCATGTTAACATGTTGCTGCTAAATTATAATGTAGAATTGGTAATCAGTAGTGGGTTGTGTTCTTCTTTCAGTAAAATCCAGGGTACCCTGTAAAAATGCAGATGTTTTTCAATTTTATTTTATTATTTTTTTTACAAAAAATTTAGATGTACATGTGTAATGCAGTGTGCTTTGTCTTATTTGGACTGATATCAGTAATGCTACTGATGTTTGTAAATTAAACAGATATTTACTTCATTAACAGCTTTTATTTGTATTCTTCTGAGAAGTTTAAATTGTCTAACAGCCTTTAACTAAACATCTGTAGTTGCAAAGAATATTTGGTAAGAAAAAAAACAAAACAAAACAAAAACAAACAAAAAAACCCACAGAATAAAACCCAACCCTAGATCTAGTATATTCATTGCTGAAAATTTGAAGAAGGAATTAATTTGGGATTATTATACCTACGGGCAGTGACATCTGAAAATGTCGGTTCATTATGAACACAGCTGAATTCATACCAAAATCAACAAAAGACTTACAAATTAAGTACACTGCATGAAAAGGCAAATCAAATCTATCGTAATATTTTAATAGTTATACAAATAGCAATTTGACAGTTGTTTTAGCAAGTAATTTGATTCTTCAGAGGGATTCATTTTCACTAATCCTGGGTAAGTATTTTAAATTTAAGGAATTGGATGGGATGATACTTAACCAGGTTTCTCTTCTGTAATATAATTTTTACAGATACTTTTGTGTTTATTTTACTTCATCTACTTTAGAATTTGTCTAAATATCCAATGAAATAGCCTTTGGCATGAGGCTTTTGCAGCTTCTGTGACTTCTAAATAATCTTCTGTAAATAGGAGTAGCTTTGAGAAAATAGAAGGCATTTTTGCATAACAGTACTTATATAACATTCTTGGATAACCAGTATTATTTTTCTGTGTATGATCAAAATCCCTGTACTGACTGAAATTGGACTGCTTTCTGTCTTCACACTGAGACAGAAAGAAGTTGTTTGCACTGGTTTTCAAGCAGTGCTAACAGCTACTGGTGATCCTGAGGCCATCAAGACAGATACTCTTTGTGGTCACTAAGCAGAACCAAACAAAAACTTGAGAATTAAAAAAAAAAAAACCAAACCAAAAACCAAACACCCAAGCAAATGAACAAAAAAAACCCCGAACCAAAACAACTTTGGCACCTACCCCTCTGGAAGCATTTAAGGCACCTACCTCAAACAGTGACTCAGCTCACCTAAGAATCCTGAGCAGCCCTGTATTCTCACCACTGAAAGTCCTTAAGCATCAACAAGATGTGCCACTGTGCATAGAATCATAGAATGGTTTGGGTTGGAAGGGACCTTAAAGATCATCTAGTTCCAACCCCCCTGCCATCAGCAGGGACACCTTCCACTAGACCAGGTTGCTCAAAGCCTCATCCAGCCTGGCCTTGAACACTTCCAGGGAGGGGGCATGATGAAAGATAATTTTATCAGTGTGATGGGTCACCCTGACACCTTTCTCATGCCTAAATCACGTTTCTTATAATATTGCTGTAATAGGCTGCCTTGTACTTGTATTCCCAAAAAGGGGAATAGGGGTCTGAGGGAGCTATAGCTTTAGGCATAACCAACACAGTGGAGAATTTAGTTCAGTGCAGAACACCCCAGGCATGCAGGTTTTCATTCAAAAACATAAGTTATGCAGCTTTTAACACAGGGCTCAGGGATTAGGTTTCTCTCCTAGGGTCTGCTGCCTGCTATGGGAATCACTCTCACACAATCTGCTTTGAATATATTGAATAAAATGTATGAACAGCATTGGGTCTGAAGGATACAACTCAGTACAGCGACCAAGTTTCAAATTATTTTTTAATTAAAAACCAAGAAAACTGAAACTTGCAGATTTCATCATTTTCTGCCAGTATTCTTAAAAGCTATAAAAGAGAAAGCACATGAATATGACTTAATTTGTACTGGCTCATGCACAGCTCCTACTGTCATCTCACAGATTATAAAAATGTGAAAGAGCATAGAAAAAAGTCCATTCTTCTTGAATGAAACAGTAACAAAAGTCATTGCCTTTTTGTTAACATTGAAAGTCAGTTCAGAACAGGAACTATGACACATAGAACCAGATTCTGCAGTCTGTAATAAAGTTTCTGGGGAAGATGGATATATGAGTGATAGAATTACTGTTTTAAGCAAACCAGAAGTGGGCTTTGAATGCGCTTTGAGAGATACAGTTTATTTTCTAAGCTCTATTGTAATAACAATTTTGTATTCAGAATACTTTTTATTGCCATATGGGGAAACCATGAGCCTTAGTATTACAAGAATCATTGTAATATGATGATGCTCTGTGTAGGTGCCACAGTCAATATGATATTCATATGATATTATGAGGGTGTTTTCCTGGAAAGACCAGAATGCAGAGGTTTTGTAGATGGCAACTAATCTGGCAGACCTGATGATCCACAATGTACTTGCAGGGACAGTAGCAAGTCAGTAGTGAAAGTGGATGTCACCATTTAGTTTTGATGAGATGAGAGATGATTAAAAGATGAGAGGGAAAAGTGGTATATTTTGGAAAGGAGCTTGCTGTTAAAAAGAAAATGCCCATAAGTTTTGGAAAAGCATCAAGAACGTTGGAGGCTGTTTGCATTGAAGCTCTGTTTTGGGAGCTTTATCTGTTATTGCTTTTAACTTACGTATTTAAAAGAAACCTCTTCACAGTTCTGAAAAATGCATACTTGATCTTTCTATCTTGAGCTAACCCTATTGTTTGAGGAAAAGTTCATCTTTTCAAAGCAATTCAAAATCCTATCTTTTGGTTCCTTTTCTGCTCCTTTAGAAGCGAGTATTATTCTCACAGTAGCTCATTAGGCATGCGAGTGTCTGTGCTTCAGCTGTCCCACCTTACACTGGAGTGCCTGGCACATAATTTCAGTTCCCATAAAGTGCAATTCCCCAGCTGAGCCATTCAGGATTCTTGGCTTTTAGAAGAAATATTTATACACTGAGCTGGTATCTCCAATCTATTTAAGATTCCTGGAGTGGAAATCAGAAAATCGTTGGTAGTTGTGACTATGTAGGGGCTGTCAGGAGTAAAGTAAAACTGAAGTGTTTGCCTGCATGCCTGGAGAGCCTGGCTCAACCCGGAGAGCCTACTGTTTTACTGTGTTCTTTATGTATTGTGTTCCTGGGAGAGCGGGAAGTTGTTGTGCTCGTCCTTTCAGAAATGTCTGAGTGCAGAGGGATTTTGTGTCCTTCTGCGAATAAATTGTCTAGGCTGGAAATCATAGGCCCCTTTGGCCCTCAGCCAGGTTAAACTGTGTATGTATACCTTAAGATCAACCATCATCTTGGACACCAACAGCTCGTGATGTTAAAGAAGTGAATAAATCTTGCTCTCAGTTTAATAAAACCCAGATGGGAAAAGCAAACCAAACAGAGTTAACAGCTCTATTCACTAGTCTCCTGGGCTCCATGTGATTATATCTGAGTTGGAGGGTATGTTCCTGCTGCTGCTGTTCTGGCCAGTGTCCGTAGGGGTGATGGCCAGCAAAGGAGAAGTATTCCATCAGTGCTACATGTCATTTGTCAAGCTGAGAAAAACCAGTCATCTCGCTGAACAGCAAGACTTCTGGCTATCCACAATCCCAGCAAATATGCTCCAGCTCTACAGCATGACACCCATGCTGCAGGAATTTTGCTCAGCCATGGGAACAGACTTTAGAACTGCCTCCCAGATACACAGCTTAATTTCAAAATGTTGATCTTAGTAATGCTTTCTGGTCTTTACAACTCCATCCTTTTATTTCATTCCAGCTCAGAGGTAAATTCCTTTAGTTCTAAACATGGAGCCTCAGTACTGTCAGTCGCTGCCCTGTACTACATACAGGAGATGATTATGACTGGTTTTTGTTCCTTTTTTAGGTATTTGTTAACATTTGTAAAGGGATCAGAAGACCTGCCTTAAAGAAGAAGATACAGGTTACACAGCCAGCTACAGAGATCAGACATTTTCATGTCCTTTATAATTTGGAAAATGTTACATTACCTCCTGTGGAACTGTCTGACGTCCATAGATTGATGTAAATTTTACGTATTTTCTGGATTTATAGACTCAGACCAGGGGAATTGTTATCTGTTTTTGTCTGCTATAACTTTTTTTTGTTTTGGTTTGGGTTTTTTTTGTTTTTTTCTTGTAATTCCTTTTAGGATACTTTCCATATCTCATGAGACAAGTAAAGACAGAATTAACATGCCTGGGTTGCTTACTCTGTCATTAAAGTTCCTTAAAAAGATCCAGTAGCCTTTTTCCAGGACATTTTTCTTCTTTCTCATAGTTTTTCACATTCTGGGCTTCAATTTGTTGTTTCTCTGTGATGGCCCATTTGTCCACTTTGGTTAATTTCCAGGACAGATTTAATCCTTCTGAGGAGAGGGAAAGGATACCTTTTTTCCCTGCAGCTGTGCCTAAAATCTCTCACAGCACATCTTTAGAAGTATGTTTTCTTTCAAAGTCCTCTGAGAATAGGTTAACTTGAGCTGTTTTTACTGCAAACTTGTTTTTTTGCTTCTGATTAGCTTTATTTATTTAATCACATTTCTGTGTTTCTGCTATGGTAACAGGAATAACAGTGGTACCAGCTGACCTGTGCTTTAAAAGTTGCTTGCTGTTTTGAAATAGCAAGTTTAAAGAGTTTGAAGTTTGCCTGTTCTTTTTTTTTCTTTTTTTTTTTTTTTTTTTTTTAAATTGGATCTCCTTTCTTATTAGTTCACCCATTTTTGAGCAGTTTTATGATTATTCTCTACAGGAAACATAAGGGCATGAGTCGGCATCAACAGTAAATAAAATCAAGCCCAGAAAACACATAGATCTACTGAAAAAAAAAAATTTATACACTCTTAGAAAAATCAGAAGTAATTATTCATCAGTTGTTGCCTTCTGTTTTACTGAACAAAATGTTATATGATTAGTGAGCAAAGATATTAAGCAGCTTCCAAGTACACCCATAGAAATAATTAATGCAGCGCGTCCAGGGCTCTCAAAGAAAGAAAAAGGGGCCTAACAGTTACCTAATTCTAGTACACCTTTTGTGGAGAGGAACATTTGGGCACATTTCTATATCTGAATATCCACAGTGAGACCATGTGGCACTGCATAGACTCCACTGCAGAAAAATTTTCACTGTTATCCTAAATAAATAAATAGAAATAATTAAACAAAAAAACACTAATA